AACTAAGTTTTGCTTTCCCATGTTGAGGATTTTCGATCTTTCTCTAAACGAATTCAGTGGCTCACTGCATGCAAAACTATTTGACAACTTCATATCAATGACCAAATTAGATGGATCAGACAAAGGCGAGATCAACTATATGGAACTACATAATGTTGGCATATATGACATAATGTATAGGGATTCAGTGAGGTTGGTGATAAAAGGCCAGGATATTGAGCTAGAAAGAATCACTACAATTATGACGGTCATTGATCTATCAAGCAACCATTTTGAAGGTCTAATTCCGAAAACACTAAAGGATCTTGGCTCACTTTGGCTACTCAATTTATCCCATAACAATCTCAGAGGTGATATTCCAAAGGAACTTGTGCAATTGAATATGCTTGAAGCGTTAGATCTCTCTTGGAATCGACTCACAGGAACTATCCCAAGGGAATTGACAAGACTAAACTTTCTGGCAGTCTTAAACCTCTCTCAGAATCGTCTTGTTGGACCGATTCCTCAAGGTCTACAATTCAACACATTTTCAAATGACTCGTACATTGGCAACCTAGATTTATGCGGTCCTCCTTTATCAAAGCAATGTGGAACGAGTGATCCATCGCGTGTTCCTCAACCATTTGAGTCCGAAGAAGAAGAAGAGGACGAGTCATATTTTGCAAGTGGATTTACGTGGGAATCAGTAGTCATAGGCTACAGTTGTGGACTTGTTGTTGGAACTGTCGTGTGGAGCTTCATGTTTAAAGCTGGTAAGCCTAAATGGTTTGTGGAATTTTTTGAAGGCATTATTCCCAACAAGAAAAGAAGGCCAAAGAAGAGAGCTCAGAGAAGAAGGCCTTAATGGGAAATTGAGAGAGCCAACTTGTTGTATAGTAACTAATGTTGGTCTGTGTTTTAGTTTGTTGTGTAAGTGAAATTTTCTGTTTCTGTTTTTCTCTTTTTAGTTTTCTGTTTGTTGTTTGTATTGTATATGTTTGCTAGCAATTTACTTGTATGTGTTAATTTAGCATTAACGATTGTTCAACTCAAGTTGCTTTGATTATGTTTCTTTCCAACTAATTTTTGAAGAGTTCGAACAACATATACAAAACAATTACAACAAATGTTTAAATGCATACCTCAGTAATAACTGCAATTGATTATAGTGGCAAAACAGCGTTAAAGGTAAAACTGAAGAATAGACTTAGAGGAAAAGGACTAATTTATAGTCAATAACACATCAGAAATTATCATGTTAGTTCCATTGTTTTTGCCAATATTAATGAATTTGGATATATAAATTGCCTATTTGAATTATGAGAAATTTTCAGAAACCGCTATTGTTTAGTGGATATTAACTTCCTATAGCTATCATATACGTATTACTTCTTATAGCTATTATTTAGTTGTTACACAATTGTATTCGCGCTGCTGTATTATTCATGAATACAATAGCAGAATTCGCCTAAAAAAAATAGGGGAATCCAGTTGTACGATTGTATTCGCGCTACTGTATTCATGAATACAGTAGCGAAATTCGCCTAAAAATAGGGAAATCCAGATGTAACTGAAGAGAATTAATTAGTGTGTATCACTCCTAATTTAACTCAGTAAAATCAATTCTATATAAATTTCGTCGTTGTATTCGCGCGACTGTATTCATAAATACAGTGAGGTAATCAAGAAATAGGATGTACACCATTCTATTCAATTCGATTGTATACATTGTATTCAATTCACATATATTTATTATTCAGTTCACCGTATTCAATTTGACTGTATTCAAACAATAAAAAATCACAAAAGAAGTGATATTCGGTTGTATTAAAAAAATACATACCTTCGGAATACATAAATACATGCGGAAAAAATAATATATTTATACAAGATACAAGTTATTTGAGTGTATTTATACAGAATACAACATATTTGTATCATTGTATATGACTAAAAAAGCAAAGAAGAGAAGAAAGTTTGCCGGAGATGGCTTTTCTCGGCCAAGCAAAATACTGTATATATTGTATTAAAACTAAAAATGGAGACGAACAAAAATCCGATCCTCAAGTCATCTCCGATATAGCCATCGCCAGGTCCCCCGACCCTCAAATCATCTTCGGCATAGCCATCGCCAGGTCTGTTCATCTAAGAGGATGAGTCAATAGTGGATGATGATGCCGATGATCAAAATTGAGTGCTTTAGTGGGTATACCTCATATAATCTCTTCGGAGTTGTTGAATTAGCTATTGAAAACGAAATTTGAAGTTTCTTTCTCAAAACATAACAAGGGGGGGGGGAGTGAAGAGAAAAAGAAGAATGGCAGAGTAATTTGGCGTGAACCGGCCTAAAGCTTTACCAATTACCACGAACTTTTAGAACAAAAATGTTGAGGATCAATTCTGAGAAATTTGTTCCTATAAGAGAGAGAGAGAGAAGAAAAATCTTGTTGTGATTTGAGAGAAAACGTGTGTTAACCGGAAAAAATAGAGAGAAAAATATAAATAGCGTATTTCACGCTTATATGATAGTGTACACAATAAATACCTATTTTAATAATATTTTAAAATAGTTTTGATTTATAATAAATAGGGTGTAATAGTTTGCTATAGAATATACAATTTCTTTAAATTATTATGTGGCGCTGCTTCATAGCTTTTTCGGAACTCGTAGTCATAAACATGCCATGGGATTTCTATGGCTAACATTAAGAGTAAATTGGAAATTAGTTAACTGTTTCCAAATATATTAAAGGTGTCATTGATTTTGGAATAGATTAATAAAAAAATAGTGTCACGTAAATTGAAACAAATATAGTACTATAAAGTATGATACCAGTGCTATGCCATGTAGGGGTGTATATAGGTTGGGTTGGTTCAAAATTTTCAATTACTAAATCAAACCAATGATGTCAGGTTTTTAAATCTATAAACCAAACCAAACCAAACCAACAAAGTCGGATTTTTCAATCTCATTTTTTCTCGGATTTTTTGTTTTTTTTTCCTTCAGATTTTCGGATTTTTCCCAATAAAATCTTCACAGCACAAAATATGTAACTTGTGCTCCATATATTTCTGTAGTCCTAATAAGATACAATTATATAATTTATTTTTCAAGAAAATAGCACAATAACATGAGATAAGTTATAGCATTATACTAAAATATTCAATAACAAAAATAATAAAATTGCATAAAGCAAATATTTCTAATTAATAAGCCATAGTGAAAATTAACGTCATCTAAAAATACTATATAGGTCATTCTAAAATAAGTATAGCTAATAAGTACTATTAATTACATAACTAAGCACTAAAGTAAAAGATAAACTAAGTTACACATTTTTATTGTAAACCAATGTAAAACTTTTTTTTAATAAATGTAAAACTAAAAATAGATATTCAATACTATTGTCATTCCTAGTGTTGAATTGAATTTTATTTTGTTTAGCATTAGTATTGATTTAAACTTTGTTTGAGTTACTATATTTATGGGCTATAACATTTATTTACCATTCAAGAATATTAAGTCCAAACTTGAAACGTTAAAAGAAAAAACTATGAAAAAGTTTAGGAAATATTTATAAATTACATTACAATTAATATTTATATGTATAAAATATTTTTAAAAATTGTATAGATGTATTATTGGGTTGGTTTAGTTTCGGTTTGACTTTTTTTTAATTAAAATCAAACCTAACCAATTATAGTCAAATTTTTTTCCCCAATACCAAATCACTATCGAGTTTTTTTTTCCGATTTGACTCGAATTATCGGTTTGATGCGATTTATCAGTTTTGTTTGTACATCCCTAATATGTGTATCCAGCATAGCAAATTAGCAACAAAAGGCCTTTTAAAAGAAGATAAAGCATTTATCAAAGGCCTCTAGGAGCAAATTATGTTAGTTGTGACAGATATTCTTTTATAGTAGCTCACTTGGAGGAAGAGAAAAAGACTTTGTTCCCGTTTGGCCATAATTTTTTTTCACCTTTTTCGAAAAATAAAAAATAAAACATAGTTTGGTTATAAAAAGTGCAAGTTTTTGAAGATAAAATTTTCAAGTTTTAAAAAGTGATTTAGACTAGTTTTTCATGTTTTTTAAAAAATTTTATTTTCAAATAAAATGCATGTCCAAACACAATTTCAATTTCTAAAAATTATTTTTCATCTATCTTCAATTTTTTAAATTAAATTTATGTCCAAATGCTAGCTTATTAGACAATAATTTTAAGTAATCACTAATTTCAAATTCATAAAACTATGTTTTGCAATAAATTTGTGCAGATAAATAAAACTGCAATCACAGACAACTATAAAGAAAAAATAATTTTATTAATAAACATTGCGGGTTATAACTCTATTTATCTCTTGATTCTTTCCTTAGATTTGTTATCCGTAATTCGAGGATCTTAACGGCATATTTCTCCAACGTAAAATGATATGCAACTCCTTGATGTATTTGATTATCAGGAAACACGTAGCAGCACTCCGTTTGGATCTTGAATATTGCTAGAAATTTGAGCAAGACATATTTGACATATATTTGATCTCTTAATGAATATTCCAAGAGTTTTATGAAATTTTGGAGATCATATATTTGATCTTTTTGTGCATATTCAGAGAATTTATGGAACTTTTGAGATCCTCTTTGAAGGACATATGTAGCCTTATTTATAGGAATGAATTAGGTTTGAGTGGAGTAGTCACTGAGTAACCCTAATAGACTCCTAATATTTCAAGAATTGTTTTGAATTTAGGATTTATTTTGATCCGTAAAGTACGGTTTTATAAAACAATTAGTATAATTATAAATATAAAAGATCAAGAAAGATGAATTACTATATAATTTGATCACTTGGCAAAAGATAAATGGCTAAATTTTGGTCCCACTAATAGTCAACTCACCTGTCCGAAAATGACATTCCTCCTTTCTTTTCCTAATTTTTTTTGCTTTGGATGCTTCGAAATGTGTCTTTGGCCGGTTATGGCCGCTCTAATATAATCTTTGATTATAACTAGAAAGAAAAATAAAAAAAATAAAACTTCTAGCTCTACAGATATCAATTTCTTCTTTTTCTTGAAAAACAAAAACCCCACAAAAACACACACACACACACAAAAACCAAAACAGGTTCAAAGTCTCACCTTTATTGAGTACATTTTCCAACAATTTTCAGTTTCATTGAATCTCAAGATACTATTTTTTAAAATTTTTTATAAAAAGAATTCCCTGTTGGAAGAACCCCACCATAAGAAAACTCCAAAAAACAGATTGAAAATCTCTGCTTTTAGATCTTTTCAACAGTTTTCACTTTCACTTTCATCACAAAAATACTGAAAAAGGAAGAGGAGAATTCAAGAAGAAGAGAAAAAAATGTCATTTATTTTAGGGGTTGTGATTGGTATTACATTTGGACTTGCTATAATTGTTGCCTTTGTTAAATCAGAAAATGCAAGATCTAAATATCGTACTGAACTGGTAAGTCAACTATAGTCTTTTTGCTATTTTTACTTCAAAGTTTAGATTTTTATTTATTTTTCATTTCTGGGGTTTGTTTTTTGTATTTATGTTTTTTTTTTGGTTGAATTGTAAAGGCGAGTGGAATTGCTGCATTTGCTAGAATGACAGTGGAGGATTCAAGAAAGATCTTTACACCAGAACAATATCCTTCTTGGGTTGTTTTCTCCAATCAGCAAAAGGTGAAATCTTTAGCTTCTCTTTAAGGTGTGTTTGGTAGGACGAAGGTCATTTTTTGAAAAAAAAATTATTTGAAAATTGATAATAATATGCAAATCGGATAGTGTTTCGGTGAAAATTCATGAGTAGTAAAGAGATATTAATGCTTAAGTGTCTGTTTGGATAGTTGTTACTTGTCATTTCATAATGTATGTACTGTATTGTATTGTACCGTATTTTTTTGGTGAATACAACAATTTGGATAGATTGATAATAACGAAAGTCAATTTTCTGGAAAAAAACAGTTACTGAAGATTGATAATAAGAACTATTAGCAAATTGGATTGTGTTTTGGTGAAAAAATTTGAGTAGTAAAGATTGATAATAATGCTTAGGTGTCGGTTAATGGAGAGATATGAAGTTAAGAGTTGAGATAATCAGCAAAAGGTGAAGTCTTTACCGTTTCTTTAGGGTATTTTTGGTATGATGGAAGTTAACTTTCAGAAATTCGGAAAATTACTCATTTTCTAGAAAATGGTTTTTCCAGACCCCATTTGTGGGATCACATTGTGTTTGTTGTTTTCGTGTTTGGTTGGAGAGCAGAAAAATATTTTCGGGGAAAAAAAACATTTTTGAAGCTTGAATCAGCAAATTGGATAGTGCTTTGATGAAAATATTTGAGTAGTAAAGATTGATAATAATATGTAGTCACGTGGATGTTGAGATAGTTGTTTCCCCTTTTTGGTGGAACAATTTTTTTTTTTGGCAACCAAACATAAAAAATTAAGTTCTTATTATCTTGAAAAAAATTGGGAGAACATTTTCCATCATACCAAACTCACCATTAATATCCCTTTCTGTTTTTTGTGGCACATAGTGACCATAAGATCATTGAGATTCAATTCGTGCATTGTGATCCGAATTGTTTTATTTGGCTACTAACTGTCCCTTTGTGGACTATGTTTAATGTCTATCTTTAATACATGTGATTTAGTTTGTTGAGTAGAAAAGAAGTGACCTTTTCGATTTTTCACTTTTGTTCTTACAGTTGAAGTGGCTTAATTCTCATCTTGAAAAGATTTGGCCGTATGTGGATGAGGTTAGGTTCAATGTCTTATACATATTTTATTTTTCCACTCTATCGGGATTCTGCGATTTCTAATTTCTGATTGTTTTGGACTTATTTGTTGCTAATTGAGTTGGTGTGGTTATATGGTAATTCAGGCAGCATCAGAACTGGTAAAGTCTAGTGTGGAGCCAGTTTTGGAACAATATAGGCCTGTGATTTTGGCGTCGTTAAAATTTTCAAAGTTCACTCTTGGTACAGTTGCTCCTCAATTCACAGGTTAGATGTTGGCTGTCATAACATGCCTCAAGTGTCTCAACTCATTCCAGCGTTTTAGCTTTATCTATTTGTGTGTATATGTGTGTGGTTGGTAATTACTTATTCGTTCAATTTTACTGAACTCTGCAATTGGATGTGTAGATTGAGTGTCTGTTGATTGCCATTTGCTAGATGATATACATGTAATCATTTACTAAGAGTTATAAACACTATAAATTGGTCATGATATAGGAGAAGAGACGAAGAATGTATGTTATGCAATCCCTTGTTCCAAAACATTTGTCCTCGTTCCTTTTGTTTTGCTTAAACTAGATTTTACTTACTCTTACCTGATTCGTTTTTTTTATCTACCTTTTTTATTTGTCCAAAAGTTTTGATCGCGTCCTTAGTTTCTTTAACTATTCAAACGTCTTGCATATTGTACTACCAAAAAGTTTTAGGAGTCACCTATACTGTTATACATATGAGCGAACTTATCAGTCCTCTAGTTCTTTTTCGTGTGCTTATTTGAAGCCGCATAACATTTCCCTGCTATTTCTAACCTCTTTGAGAAGTCAAAATGTGGCAAATAAGTTGAGATTAGCAGGGGATAAAAGACATATGAACCTCATAGAGCTATTGTGGTGACGTTGCCTCTAGTGTCAGTTTATTCCTTAATAAAAGAAACTGCTTGCCAGGATAAATCACATGATATTTTACAAATGCTTGATCTCATATTGATGTTTCATTGCAGGGATTTCTATTATTGAAGATGGAAGTGAGGGTATTACCATGGAATTAGAGATGCAATGGGATGGGAACCCAAGCATAATACTCGATATCAAGACTTATGTTGGTGTAGCATTACCAGTGCAGGTAACTATTTGCACCTCAGAGCTATGCCGCATACTTTAACTGCTCCACATGATATGGTCCTAATTTCTGCTGAGATGCAAATTTTATTGTTTTTCTCCGCGAATTACTCAAATTGAAGGACACATTGGAATTGGTTGATGGAGCAAACAATTGTTTTAGCTTAAGTAGTCTGTATTTATGCCTTACACTTGCAGGTTATCCCATATGATTTGCATGGACATGCTCATGCTTATGTGTTTTTTACTTGGACTGACCACGGCATGAAATGTTAATGTCATTATATTCCCTGCAATACTTCCTTAATATTGATCTAAATGAGTTGCTCGCTTTAAGAGTGAAGAAAGAAGATACTAGTAATATATACATCTTACTGTTTTGTTTCATTTTCCCTTCGTGAATACTTTTTTTCCCCAAAAATATCAAGTAACTTCATGAAAGCTGGATCCTTTTGTCCGATATCGACCACTTTTTTCTGCCAGTGTAATATGCCAACTCAATTTGTTATAGCTACTAGCTACAGAAGCAACTATGGTATTATCTTGATGTAATTTGTTGTCTTTTTAATTTGTCCACGTGCGCCATGTTAAGAGCTTTGATGTAACTTCAAATATGTGTTGTCTCATTGTTCTGTTTTGCTGTCAAGGCACTAAAGAGTCTTCTCAACTATCTGTGTAAACCTTCTCCTACTCTTGTATTTTGCAATGAATATTTTCTTGTATATTCTACTTTTTCCATGACTCTGTCTTGGAAAAATAGTCATTCCTTTTTCCGACTACTGTCCCTTTTAACGCTGTCACGAATTTATCCATGCAAGTTTCTATTTTAGTTCCTGAAATATTTGTATCATGCTATGTTCTAACTTTTATGAAAATGATTTTAACTTTGTGTTTATTGATCTGTTTTCATTTAGGTGAAAAACATTGGATTTACTGGTATTTTTAGGCTGATCTTCAGGCCACTTGTTGATGAGTTTCCTTGCTTTGGAGCTGTATGTTACTCTCTGAGGCAGAAGGTGTTGTATAAACTTCAACCTTTTTTTTATCTTTCATTTGCATGTGTATCACTTTGTGCACATATACTATGTTGCTTGGACTCTCCAAAAATATTGCCGGGTGCATGTCGGATCCTCCAAAAGTAGTGTATTTTTGGAGGATCTGACACGGGTGCGGCATTATTTTGGAGAGTCTGCGCAACATAGCTCATATATGCACAAAAATCAACTTAAGCATGTTATTGATACTTATCCTTAAACAATTTAAGCATGGTGTTGATACTTAAAATAAAAAAATTTAAGCATGTTATTTACACAATCCCGAATTAATACTAAGGCCTTTTCTTTTATTTTGAATTGAAAATAGATTCTGAGTGATTGAGTATTAACTCGGTCAACAATTCAAGGATTTGTCACATGTCTATTTAAATTTGGATGTTGATATTCAAGATAATTCAAGTATGTATCTTGCTACACAGCATTCCGATATGCATCTTATGTGTGTACACCAAAGGCAGTCAGGATTTACATCAGTGGGTGCTGATCATTGCACCCACTACTCTTTTGTGGCAACGGGTGTGAACTTAATATAAATATACATTCGTAAAAAAATTCTCAACTACTTATATAATTCAAGCAAGACCAGAGGGAGCAGGCGCACCTACTATCTTAGTTCTACATTGCCCGTGTCTGTGCAAATGGCACTTACTCTCACCAGGAAAAGACTACCCACGTGCATATCTCACACCTAAACTCTAAAGGAAAAATGACAAATAAATTTCTTTGCTTGCAGAAAAAGCTGGATTTTACGCTTAAAGTAGTTGGTGGTGACATGACAGCAATTCCTGGCCTTTCTGATGCAATTGAGGTTTGGTCAAACTTTACCACTTAAATCTGTTTCTCATGTTTCTGTGGTAAACATTCTATATTGTCATGCACTTGCCTAGAACTTCTGTATTTCAATATGGATAACGGTATTTACTTGAAATGCCGAACAGAAGTAGCTATAATACATTCACGAGAGTAAAAGAGTGTTGCGTGAAAAATTTCAAATAACAGTTCTTTTGTTTCTTGGTGCATTCTCTGAGACTATACTAATTTTGAGAAAAGAGAGGAACAACGGATTTGCTGCTTTGAGTTGTTTGCATAAACTTGAACTTTATTATGCAATCAATAAACGAAATTCTTAACAAATGTTTGTTATGATTTACTACATTCTAGATGTGCTAAAATGAATTTTATTTCTCCAGGGAACCATCCGGGACGCTATTGAAGACTCTATCACATGGCCGGTTCGAAAAGTTATTCCCATTTTACCTGGGGATTATAGGTATTGATATTAGTAATGGATTCTTTGAACCATCTTGGTTTCACCGAGCCAGTTTATCTTTGGGCTTCCCCGATCTTGATCCAGTCGAACACATTTAACTTCTCATTGAACCTCAGAAGGACCTTTCCAAATATAAAATTTCCAAAGACAGAATTTTGGATTATGTTTTGGAGAGTGGTTCCTTCAACTTATGTCAGACTTCCGTCCATTTTGCATTGAGCTAGAAAAGTCAAAATGTTATCTCATGCAATTTTGTAACTATCTCATGTTTTGATTGGAGCTGTAAAATCCTTATTGACATTCTATTTTCTCGTACCAGTGACCTTGAACTGAAGCCTACTGGAGTATTGGAGGTGAAACTTATTCAAGCAAAGGAGTTAACAAATAAAGACCTCATTGGAAAATCTGACCCTTTCGCTGTATTATACGTACGCCCTATACGAGATAGAATGAAGAAGAGCAAAATAATTGTAAGTTATTCATCCTTTTCCCTGGAAAAGTTTCTTTAATTTATTGATAAAAGTTAGGATTAAAGTAAATAATGTTCTTTTTCAGAACAACGATTTGAACCCAATCTGGAATGAGCATTTTGAGTTCGTAGTTGAAGATCCGCTGACACAACACTTGGTGGTAAAAATCTACGACGATGAAGGTCTTCAGTCAGCTGAACTACTTGGATGTGCTCATATCCGTTTGAATGAGCTTGAGCCTGGTAAAGTAAAGGATATTTGGTTAAAGTTGGTGAAAGATTTGGAGATTCAGAGAGACCAGAAAAATAGGGGCGAGGTGACGACTGCAACTCCCTTTACTTTCCTTGGCCATGTTTCAATAGATTCTGCAGTAGCTGGAAATACACGTACATAGCACTGGGAAATCTGATGGAAATATATGTGCAAAAAATCCAAATACTGGAAAGCTAGTGATATTTTCAGCAACAACTAAATGAAACAGCATTTACTGTTCAAAATGAGTGGCACTGATGGTGCTGTGAATAATACGAGTTCGTTCCTGCTCATAATATTCTTACTGATATGGTCTCGATTGCCGTTTCTTTAGTCCTATGTAGGAAAATCATAGGCAGTGATTTCCTTTCCCTTATGGTACCAGACCTCATCAAAACTCTCTATATTCTCGATCACCATTTCTTTAGTCCTATGTAGGAAAATATATTTCTCTCTTGATATTTTGAGCAGAACACGTAGAATAGTCTCGGTGCGCTCCGTCTGAACTCTGCTCATTATCTTTGTTTAGGTGCACTTGGAGCTATTGTATTGCCCTATTGGCATGAAGAATGGGTTAACTAATCCTTTTTCTCAGACTGAGACAATGACTTCATTAGAGAGAGTTCTTAAAAATGGGGCAGAAGGAAAAGAAACTAGTCCTAATGGAGGTGAAATCAGCAAAAGAAGGGAAGTAATAGTACGAGGGGTACTTTCTGTTACTGTGATATCAGCTGATGACCTGCCCCCAGCTGATATAGGGGGGAAGGCTGACCCCTACGCCGTGCTGATTATGAAGAAGGCGCAAATCAAGAACAAAACCAGGGTATCCTTTCTTATTCTTATTTAATTGTTGACTTCTCAGTAAATAATTTCTTTCCTTTTTTGGTAAGTAGGAATGATATTATTGTCTCTTCTGTTGAGCCGAGGGTCTCCCGGAAATAGCCTCTCTACCCTTCCGGGGTAGGGGTAAGGTCTGCGTAGACGCTACCCTCCCAATACCCCACTAGTGGGATTTTACTAGGTGTGTTGTTGTTGTTGTTGTTTTGGTAAGTAGGAAAAGAAACAGTATGACATGATCCTCATTTTTGGATCGAGATTTCTAACTTTTCCTCCTGTCCTCCATCTAATATTCAGGAGCTGATGTAGAGTTAATAGGTATGGGTTCATCTGAACCCAATAGCTTTGGCTTGGACCTTGTATATGTTAAAAAATATACTAGATAAGTACAAATAATAGATTTCGAACCCAGTAAATCAAATGAATCATGGTAGAATCCCGAACTCTAACAACTTATCAAAAAAATAGAAGCCCGAACTCGAACCCATAAGGTTCAAATCCTGGATCTGCCTCTGCTAATATATAGGCAATGGAAACCACAAAGTTCGTATTAGCCGAAGCAAGTCGGGGTTAGCTATCTGAATCTTCACTGTCCATGTCACAACATCTGAGAACATGTAATGTTAATTATCCTTGTTTAGAGTAACTTGCCTTGATACTCTTCATTCATAACTAGATATAATGCTAATTATCACTTACCAAAAAATATATATAATGCTGATTATCTGTTTTCTTTAGGTCGTAAATGAAAGTCTAAATCCAGTTTGGAATCAGACTTTTGACTTTGTTGTTGAGGATGGATTACATGATATGCTAATTGTGGAAGTCTGGGACCATGACACATTTGGAAAGGTAAGAGTATCTGTCCTTTAATAAATTCCATATGTTACCCTATGACTATTGTTTTCCGCTTGTCCTCGTGCCAAATTATCGTTATGGATATCTGTAGTATCTTTCCAAATACCAACTTATGAAAGCCTTTCATTTTCTTCTCTTCGATGGAAGTTTGATATTTCCAGAATGTATCCTAATATTTGGCATAATTCTTCTTCTGATGATCTATTCAACCTCTGATAAAAAAGATATACCTTGGTTATATTTCATCTCTTCGACAAGTTTAGTAATGACCATAGCGGCCCTATTGTTCCGATGGAGAGAAGAACCAATGATTAGCTTTTCAGAAAATTTCCAAACGAACAATTTCATTGTTGTGATGTTTTCTTTAGCTGAAGCAACTCACTATGTGAGCTCTTTGCTAAAACATTGAATTGGTAAAATTGACCCTTTGTTTCTTTGTGGTTTTCTCTTTTTCATTATGGTTTCAATGGTGCTTCGATAGGTAGTCATTAGTTTGTACGATCTCCCTTAGCATGTGAATTGCTTAGAACATTAAGGTTACGGTAAATATAACTGCAAAAGGAGTTCCATGTAGGAAGATATATAAAAACCAATGCGATAAATCAAGATGCAAGATGATATTTCTAAGGGCTCTTTCCTTTTCTTTTTTCTTATGCGTAAACTTTGGAGAGTACCATTTTTGTATCTTATTTCTTGACTGTTATATTGATTCATTTCCAATTCTCACAACTTCTTCACAGGATTTCATGGGAAAATGCATACTGACTTTAACAAGAGTTCTAATGGAAGGTGAATATAAAGACACCTTCGAATTATCCGAGTCTAAATCAGGGAAACTGAACTTGCATCTCAAATGGAACCCACAGCCATTATACAGAGACTCCCAGTGATGAACATCAAACTTCAGTTTTATTCTTGGAAATTTTGTACAGGGAGTAAAGTTTCTTTGATTCCGATATTGATTGGAAAAGACTACGTAGAATCGAATATTTTCTGTACATGAGTTGATTAAAGCAGAAGAGAGATAATGTAAAGTTGTGAAACTTCTAAAGAGAAACTGAAGTTGAAGCTGGACAAGAATAAAAATGAGTAATCTTCCAAGTAGTATACATTAGTTATATTATGTACTGTTAGTGCCTCTACTTTTTATTCTTTGTTATATGACAATATTGCTTTTAACAATTTCAATCTTTCTCAGAACTTACATTTTCTTATATGATAAAGTTTAGCATAAGTTGCTTGACCATAGTCCCTTATTTTACTTTTTGTTCATTACAACAACAACAACAACAACAACCCAGTGTAATCCCACAAGTGGGGTCTGGGGAGGGTAATATGTACGCAGACCTTACCTCTACCCCGAGGGGCAGAGAGGTTGTTTCCAGGAGACCCTCGGCTCAAAGAGGCAACAAGAGACACTATATTAGTACTATCAATAGACTCATAATAGAACAACATAAAGTACCATAAAATCCATAACATAACATAAATACCATAAAAACAAAGTAACAGCAATATAAGAGATATAGGAAATACGAGAAAGATGTAAGGTATTAATACACAGAAGATAAAGCCCATCATCAGTAGTTGATCAATAGCATCCTAAGACTAATTCCTAACTGGCTNTGCAACCCCGTAATAACCGGAAAATAATCTGAATCGCCTCCTGCTGTCCTAACCCGAGTCTTAGCTCCATCATACATGTCCTTAATCGCCCTAATGTAGGCAACCGAGACCCCTTTAGCCTCTAAGCATCTCCATAAGACCTCCCTAGGAATCATGTCGTACGCTTTCTCTAGATCGATAAACACTATGTGGAGATCCTTCTTCTTATCCCTGTATTGTTCCA